ATTCAGAATAGATGATGCTACACAGAGCACAAACTAGTTGAGTGACCTTGTGCAAAAGCAAAGATTTGAAGCACCAGCATCCAGCTGTGGAGAAAAGGGTCGAGTGCTTGAGTTTCTTCTGAGAGACACGCTCTAGAATCTGTGCACAGATGTGATGGAAACAAGGAGTGGCTGACATGGGGAGTGGTAGGCTTGCCCTCCTGTTCTCCATCTCTTTCTGTGTTCATGGCCAGGGAACTTGAAACTGCTGCTTGAGATGACAGGAATATGAGCCTGTATTCTGTTTATTGGATCTGTACAGTTCTGAATGTCATAGTATCGATCACCAATACCCTGTGAACTCCTCTGCCTGAACAAGCCCAAATGGAGCCGTGTGATATAAGAGTCAAGGAGGTGAGGGGCTGGTCACAGACTAGTTTATAGAACACTTGACGGAGGGACTGAGGGACAGGACCAGCCCTTCCGGGAGCAGGCCACACTGGCCTGTTGTTTATAGAAAATACAGGGAGAAGTCTAGAAGTTGTTTACTTTCTCCCTCCCGTCTACCATCATTCTTTCCTAATTTTCTTTTTTGTTTCCTTCAGTTACCACTTCCTTTAAAAACAAAAAACAAAACAAAACAAAAGAACAAACCTTTTTAAGCACGCCTTTAACCCCAGCATTCATGAGGCAGAGGCAGATGGATCTCTGTGAGGCAGAGGCCAGCCTGATCTACATAGTAGGTTCCAGGATAGCCAACACTGTATAGAGGGACCCTCTCTCCAAAATTAATTAGTAGTACTACTAATAATCTTTAAAAACCTTTTAAAACTTTTTAGTAATGTCAAATGGCCAGTTTGTGATATTTAATCTTTCCTGAGAACTTCAGGATAATGAACTGAGATAATTAGCCACATTTAAAGATCTTTCTCATATGTGAACACCATTGAAAATCTACTGTTTATACTAGAGTTACCTCCAATAACGGCTGGCAAAAAACAAAACAATAACAACAACAAAAAAAAAACACATGATTTTTTGTTCAAGACACAGTGGTACAAGTGTGGGCTCATCTGCTGGGTGATGAGAGGATGTCTTTTGTATGAGGCATTGAGAACGCTGTCTGATCACACTTGGTAAGGATTTCTGATATACCATCGTTGTCTTCTCTCACTTGTACCCAGATCTGGTGCTGGCCCACGTCCTCTGAACTGTTTTTGTGTGTGTCTGAGTATCGAGACTGTGGGACTTAGGAAACCTCTCAGGCATGCAGTGCTCCCTCAGCAGCCTGGCCTTGCTGGGGTGGCTGGGGTGCAGGCACCTCTGCAACAGAGCTCTCTGCTTTCCATCCTTGCACTTCTGACTGCACTCAACTCAGATATTTAAGTGACAGGAAGCAACAACATTCCCCAAACCTTGAGCTCTCAAAAATTTCAGACAAACACAGCCACGTGCCTATGGTATTCCAGTTGGTGAGAGCAGCAGGGACAGGGACCAAACTGTTCTGGTCTGGGCAAGGCTTTAAAATACTGGAGCTGTCTTCTACAGGAAACTTTACCCAGCTCATGAGATCTGAACCGTCCAACCCACAGGCTTTTTTCCTTTCTCTTAAGGACTGATGTAGCTTTACAAGTATTTGGGTGTAGGTTTCCCTCCCCACCATCAGGTCTCAGGACTTTGTTCTAGGCTCTGGGGAGGAACTGTTATGAATGCACTGTGGCTCACTTGACTCCCACTCTGCCTCTGGTTCCGAAAGGCCATCACCGTGCTCTAGCCATCCAGCTGAAGAGTTCTCTAGCCTGCATCTCTTTAGTTCTTGCCTCTGAGGTTCCTTGCCATTACTCACACCACGGGGAACAGGTCCTGGGCTTTGTGTCTTCATTGTAGTTCACTTCCGTAGGCTATCAGGACAACACACTGTAGTCCTGCTGGAGAGGAGAAAACACCACGTCCTTCCCTGTGCCTGGTACACCACTTCACAGTTCCTCTCCACCCCACCCCACCCTTGGGCACGGGCCACCCTTCCGTGTCCTCCTGCTTTCTCTCTCTGTTTGTAAAAAGACCTGCAGCAGTCTTTTTCTCCGGTGACGCCTACTTGGTATTTGATGAGGAGAAAGACGGAAAGCAATTCTAATAATATTTCACGTTTAAACATCTAAGTGTCCAGACAGGCACCAGGGTTAACGTGTCTCTGCGGTGCTCACGGTTCCCTGCAGCACCCCGCCATGAACTGCAGCACCTCCATTGCAGGGCCTTTTATACTCAGGAAATAGTTTGAAGACTTCACATTATTTTTATAAGTATTTTATAGTTTATTAAATTTTTATTTTCCTTTGTCTTCTCCAAAAGCCTTGGACTGCATCAAAAAAAATTTTTTATACCCATAAAGGCAGTGCTAATATGGGGTGTAATGTACAGTTGGTTCCCTCCCCTAAATTGGCCTTTATGTGGTATTTTCATTATTTGAAAAGAATTAATAACAATATTTAAAAACTTTTCAGGGATGTATTTAGTATTAACTTAAGTGTTTTTTTTTTTAATCTATTTTATGGATATTTTACTACTCCAGCATGCTAAGTGAAGTAGCTTTCGGGTTCAGGTTCTTTAGAGACTTTGAGCAGCAAAGTCAGTTAGAGCCACATTAGTAATTTGCAAATTAACCTGACTGTTCTGGATTCCATGAGCCCCTTATTTAAAGCTTTCTTTTGAGGGCATGGGGTGTAGTTCGGTGGTAGGCTGTTTGACTAGCATACATGAGCCCTGGGTTCGACCCCCAGCATTGCATAAACTAGGTATGTGGTGGTGACACATATATTCCCAGAACTCCAAAAATGATCAGTTCAAGGTCATCCTGGACTACACAGTGAGTTTGAGACTAGCCTGGGAGAACCTTACACTGGAGACTTTATCTCAAAAAGTTAACTAATCAAAACTACTAATCTCAACTAGCACTAAGCCCCATTTTCTTCAGTCATAATCTATATCAGAAAATATCAACCTTTATTATCAAAAACAGTTGAAAGTGTTGGAGGAGGAACGATGTTTTCCTTTTTGCTAGTGGTTGAGGCAGGAGAGTCAGACCGGCCTGGCCCCAGATGGCGGGGCAGCTCCTCTGAGCCCGTGGCTGGTCTTCAGTCCTATTACTGTGCACACTCTGTGCAGAGGATGAGGGGTGTGCCTAGCAGCACAGTGCGCGGCAGAGTGGAGCTGTGTGCGGAGCCCTGCGTCCGTCATAACTCTCACTTGGTACTCAAATGGACTGGTATAGAGGCTGGCGGGGTGGCTTCATGGCCGTGTGCTTATCTAGTGTGCATATGGTCAACCCCAGTGGTTCCCAACCTTCCTAGTTAGGCTGCAACTCTTTAATACAGTTCCTCATGTTGTGGTGACCCCTAACCAGAAAATTATTTTCTATAATTTTGCTACTGTTATAAATCATAATGTAAATATCTGTGTTTTCCAATGGTCAAGGTGACCCCTGTAAAAAGGGTCATTTGATCCCCCAAGAGGTTGTGACTCACAGGTTGAAAACCACTTTTCTGTACCAAAAAGAAAGGAGAGGCAGATAAGGAGGATAGATTATTATAATAATGAAAATATCAAAAAATACATCCTTTATAAACCTTGACTTTAAGTTTTCTTATTTATTATTATTATTATTATTTTTTGAGACAAGATATCACTATGGCTGGGCGGTAGTGTTGCATACCTTTAATCCCAGCACTCGGGAGGCAGAGCCAGGCGGATCTCTGTGAGTTCAAGGCCAGCCTGATCTGCAGAGTGAGATCCAGGACAGGCATCAAAACTATACAGAGAAACCCTGTCTCAAAAAAACAAACAAAAAAAAAAGATATCACTATGTATCAGAAACTGTCCTTGAGCTCATTATGTAGACCAGGCTAGCCTGGACTCTCACAGAGATACACCTGCTCCTGCCTCCAGAATGCTGGGATTAAAGATGTACATCACTACATCCAGCTTGACTTTAAATTTCTCTTCTATGTAATTAAACTTCTACTCTGCCTAAACAGATAGCATATGATTCTATTATATACTCCTAAAATCTGTCCTAGTGAAGAAGTCCTACTCAGTAGTTGCACATTTCAGTAGTTCAGAATGCTTTTTGTTTGTATAGAATACCACAGTTTCTTTATTTAAAAATAAGGGTGGGAGAGAGAGAGAGAGAGAGAGAGAGAGAGAGAGAGAGAGAGAGAGAGAGAGAGAGAGATATCCTATGGATTGAGCTGAGGGCCTTGCAAATGTTACCCAAGTGCTGTACCACTGAGCTATGTCCTGAACCTTACTTAATGTTTCAAACTGGGATAGATACATGATGCTTGCTTCAATTGTTAAATATCAGACAGAAAAAGTTAATAATGACCAGTAATATACCCATCAGGTCTGAGTACTCCATAAAGATGAGTTCAGTTGTTGCTCAAAAGAGGTGCTCTATGGTCTCATTTTACAGACCAGGGCACTACGGGACAGCTTAGTTAAAAACACCTGCCCAGCATCGTATAAACTGGGCATGTGTTTAGACAGTGTAGCTCTAGAGCTACATTTATACGGCTGTGCTGTTCTGCTCTTCCAACCTCACATGGTAAATTGACAAGGGCCAAGAAATCTGAACTGGCTATAGCGGCTCATCCCTATGATCCAAGCATTTGGGAGGCTGGAGCACGACAGTGAGTTCAAGGCCCACTGGACTACGTAGTGAAGCTACCTGAAGGAAAGAGTGTGGCAGGGGAGAAAAAAGAAGAGAGGAAGAAAAAAAGGAGGGAGGGCGAAAGGGAGAACAGGCTCTGCTTCACTCTTTAAATCTGTATGCCTCAGTTTCCTTGATATATAATACGTTTCTTACAACAGTGATTTCATATTGATTAAAATATCCGTAAGGTCCTTTGAGTTCCTCGTGTTAGAATCTGTACATTTTAGATGTAGTAAATGTTAGAGGAAGCTGGTTGTGGAAAGGTGTTAGAGAGGGAACAGCATTCTGATAGGTTTTTGTTTTTATTTGGTAGAAAAGAGTAGTTGAACAGCTGCGGAAGAACCTGATAGTCAAGCAAGAGCAGCCGGACAAGTTCCAGATACAGCCATTGTCACAGTCTGAAAATAAACTACAAACAGCACAGCAGCAGCCACTGCAGCCACTGCAGCCACTGCAGCAGCAGCAGCAACAACAGCAGCAACAGCAGCAACAGCAGCAGCAGCAGCAGCAGCACGCCCAGCAGTCAGCAGCACCGCCCAGCCTGACTGCATCACAGGTAACCGTGTGGGTGGAGCAGCCAAGGCTGAGTGCTGGGTGTTGATTAGTTATTGATCATGTAGCACTGGATCCTGCTTTAGCTATCCTAAGCTCACCTAATACTAAGCAAGTTTTCTGGGTTTTGTTTTGGGTTTTACTATTACTATAAGGATCAGTTAAATTCATTGGCAGAAGGAAAGAGCCTTCTAGGGAGCAAAAGTCAAATGGCTGAGTTGGGAGTGTGGCTCAGTTGTGATGGAGGGCATAGCTAGCATTCATGAATCCATGGGTTTGATCCTCAGCACCACATAAAACCAGGTGTGGTGGTTTATGCCTGTGATCCCAGCACTCTGAGGTGGAGGCAGAGGGATCAGAAAGTCAGTCACCTTTGACTACACAAGAAGTTAAAGTTTGAGGCCAGCTTGGGCTGCATGAGATCTTATCTCAAAAAACAAAAAACCAAAAGGAATGAGGAAAAAAAAAAGTTAAATGATTTCCATTGGGAATAGAGCTCAGCAATAGAGTGCTTGCCAACCATGCCCAAGCCTAGCAACACACACACACACACACACACACACACACACACACGTATGCATACATACCTGCTAAATGATTTTCTACTTGCCATCAACACCAAAGACAAATTACTCCAAGCACCCCAACTGAATTAAAGTCTGGAAATTTTGGGGGGTGTTTATTTGTATTTGTTCTAAAGTGATTTGACCCCTTCTGGAACTGTTTTTCTGAAATTCTTAGCAATTAGGCATAGAGCTGTTCCAGTGCCCATGCTTTTGGGACCGAGTAGACAGAAGCATTCAGGAGGGTGATATGTTTTCATTATCTACAGAGATAACAAGTTTGCTTCAAGTCCACATTCTTGGAATGAGGGTGCAGGTGAGACTCAGAATGCCTGATGCAGCTGTGGAAATGTTTTACTGGAAAGGGCATTTTACCTAGCACAGAATGTGAGGAGAGAGTCAAGACACACTGAAAGGGCATATTTGGAATTGACATTTGAGTAAGAAAATTATTCAAGCTTGACCTCTACAGCCTTAGATATATTATAAATGCACCTTTTTAAAAGGAGCCGATGGGCCTGGCGAGGCGGCTCCGTTGGTAAAGTGCCTGCTGTGTAAGCGTGAGGACCTGAGTTCTAACCCCAGCACTCACATAAAAAAGACAGTGCGTGGTCGTGTGTGTGTGTTTTTAATGTCAGTGCTAGGGAGCAGAGACAGGAGAATCCCTGGAGCTTGCTAGCCAGCCAGCCTAGCTGAAGCTGTAAGTTCAAGATCCCAGTGAGAGATCCTGTCTCAAATACCAAGGTGAGGCCTGAGAGATGGCTCAGCAATTAACAGTGTTTGGTGCTCTTGGAGAAGACTTGGGTTTAGTTCCCAGAACCCACATTGAGAGGCATGCAATAATTTGTAAGTGCAATTCCAGGAAATCTAGTTCCTCCTTCTGGCTCTCCAGGCATCTGCATGCACAGGGTGCACATATACACACTCAGGCACTCATGTGCACACACCAAATGAATAAATAAAAAACAAAGCAAAGTTGATGATAACTGGAGAACAGCACATGTCTGCACACCTGCACACACTCATACCCAAATAAGTAAATCAACCAAAAAAAGGGGGGGGGGATGAAGAGGCTTGGAAGTTAGGAGTATTCACTATTCTTACAGAGGACCCCAGTTCAATTCTCAGTACCCACGTGGTAATACTGCCATCCATAACTCTAGTAACAGTGGATTGATGCCTTCTTCTGGCCTCTGTAGGCACCAGGCATGCATATGGTACACATATATGCCTGCAGACAAATCACTTATACACATAAAAGAAGTCTTTTTTTTAGGAGTCTAGCTGGGCATCGTGACAAATGCCTTTAATCCCAGCATTCTGTGAGGTAGAGGCAGGAGGATCCCGTGAGTTCAAGGCCATCCTGGTCTATAGATAGAGTTCCAGGACAGCTAGATCTGTTATAAGAGAAACAGTGTCTTGAAAAACAACAACAAAAAGATTCTGATGTGTTGGGTTGCTGGCTGTAGCTCAGCAATAGAGTACTTGTTCCCCATGTGTCAGATCCTGTGTTCCATCCCCAGTGTCTAGTTAGTGTCTCTATTGCTGTGAAGAGACACCATGACCACAGCAACTCTTATGAAGGAAAACATCTAACTGAATGGCTTCCAGTTTCAGAGGTTTAGTTCATTATCATCATGCATGGCAGTGTGCAGGCAGACATGGTGCTAGAGAAGGAGCTACATCTTGATCCCACAGGCAACAGGAAGTATAGCTTGAGCATATATGAGACCTCAAAGCCTGCTTCCATGGTAACACGCTTCTCCAACAAGGCCATACCTGCTCCGACAAAGCCACACCTCCTAATAGTAACACTCCCTATGAGCTTATGGGGGCCAATTGCATTCAAACTACTACACCTAGCATCACAAAAATAAATGAATAAGAGTAGTGAACAGTAGTTATTAGTCCTGGGAATTGGGTATATCACAAAACCCTTTAGGACTGTTGAAAGCTATGTACCCTTCCATAGAAAAATGTACGTTAATACTCAGTACAGTTACTTTACATATTTCAGAATGGTTTGGGTCTTCTAAAACACACCAATCTGAATTTTCACTGTGTATGTAGAGGAAATCTAATTATTATTTGTAGTCCTAAGACTAGTTCATGTATAACTTTTTGTTGTTGTTGTTTGGTTTTTCAAGACAGGGTTTCTTTGTGTAATAGCCTTGGCTGTCCTAGAACTCACTCTGTAGACCAGGCTGGCCTCAAACTCACAGAGATTTGCCTGTCTCTGCCTCCCAAGTGCTGGGATTAAAGGTGTGCGCCACCACCACCTAGCCATGTATAAAGTAAAGAATTGAACCACCTATTAAAAAAACTAACAACGCCTAGAATTTGATAGAGGCTACTGAATACCAGCATACTATGCAGGGTTTTGCATATATAGTGGACATGCTCTTCACTCTTAATCCTAGAGTTCAGATTTTTAGAAAGGAAAATTTAAAACATATATAATAGGTGGTATTCAGTAGAGCCAAAGTTGAAGCCAGAAATTCTGAATGAGAAATCTGTCCATTCAGCTACTTGTCTGTGCTGCCAGACAATGCCAGGTAAGGGGATGCCAGCACAGTGTGAAACCTAGGAAGAGAAAGGAGGTCGGTGAGTTGATTCAGCAGTTAGGAGCATTTGTTGCTCTTACAGAGGACCAGAGTTTGATTCCCAGCATCCATATGGCATGCCTGTCTGTAACTCCATTTCCAGGGCATCTAACACCCTTTTCTAACCTCCAATGGCACCAGGCAAACACTTAGTGTAAAATGCATGCATTCAGTCAAACACTCATACACATAAAATGATAAAGTAAAAATAAATAAATAAATCTTCAATCAGAGAACTAGGGCATCAAACACTTTCCCACTAATCATCCAGTACTATCTGTAAATTAGACATTTTTTTTCCTCCAACAGGGTCTTACTATGTAGTTACAGCTAACCTAGAACTTACTGTGTAGACCATGCTAGCCTCAAACTCAAAGATCTTCCTGCCTCTGCATGTGAGAGTATTTGCCTGGATGTCATGTACACATCACATGCATGCAGTGCCTGCAGAAGCCAGAATAGGGCATTGGCTCTCCACTGGAGTTACAGCCAGCTGTGAGCTGTCCAGGCTGGCTGGCTAACTGCCTGCCTGCCTGCCTCCCTCCCTCCCTCCCTCCCTCCCTCCTTCTCTCCCTTCCTTCCTCCCTCCCTTCCTTCCTTCCTTCCTTCCTTCCTTCCTTCCTTCCTTCCTTCCTTCCTTCCTTCTTTCAAGGTTTCCTTGAACTTTTACAACTTCTCAAAGATTGCTTATAAATTTACTTTTCCTGGGGTTTTAGGCAGAGTTGAATTAGGTTCTCTTTTCAAAATGCAGTTAGATCAGAGAGTGTTTACATGGAAAGAACAGGGTAGAATTGTTGTTTGGTGATATGCGAGTATTTACTGTTTTAATACATGGAATTTTCTATTCAAGTAATAGTCTATGTTACACAAATCAAGCAGATTTATAAACAAATGCCTAATTGGTAGCTCCTCTGTTCACCTGAGTATCTGCATTGGGCTGGTGGACAGCAGGACCCAGCACTGCCTCCAGACCAGTGTTGCATAGCTTCTCTCCATCTGCTAGCACACCTGATACATTTAATTGATTTAGCTAACCTTGATTTTATATTGTTTTGTTTTGTTTAATGCAAAGGCTTAATGCTAAACCCAATGGCCCTCTGGGTTTCTGTTGTTTGTCTTTGCAGTGAGCTCCATTCAGTGTTTATTGACTGCTCTCTGTGTGCTAGATGGTATACAAAGAGCAACAGTCCCTGCCAAGAATCTGGCATATTATGGTAATTCATTTTCATTCATTTTGTAAATATTTATTGAGTCCACACTGTGTAAGCACTGAGCTAGGAAATGTGGAGGCTAGACTCAAAGTACCAGTGAAGGACTGAAAATACCAGAGAAAGGGTAATTTTCACTAGAGGAATCAAAAGCACTTCTTAAAGGAGGTGGCATTGACAGGATCCGGACCAATGAATGGGATTTTCATGGTAGAGCAGAGAGTAAAGAGCATAATTGTAGATAGGAAGACAATTGAAAAATAGAAAATTTATAAAAAGTCAATTTGGAACCTGTAGAAGATCTCAGTGGCTAAAAGTATGCACTGCTCTTGCAAAGGATTAGAGTTCACTAACTAGCACCCTTGTCCCTCAGCTCACAAGCACCTGTACTTCCAGCTCCAGGGGGATCCTTTACCATCTTCTAACCTCCACGAACACCTACACTCATGTGCACATTCTAACACACACACACACACACACACACACACACACACACACACACACACACACACAGTTTTAAAAATCTTTTAAAGGAGAGGTAGGTTTTGCTGCAAAGAGGTTAAGAGCCTGTACTTTCCTTACAGAAGACCAAAGTTCAGTTTCTCAGCTCTTGTGTTAAGTAACTCAAGCTGCCTCTAACTCTAGTTCCAAGGGACCTGATACCCTCTTCTGACCTCCCCAGGCACTGCACTTACATGCACAAATCCCCACGCAAGCACACACATTTATACAAAATTTAAAAATTAAAAATAATAGTAGATCTGGGCTGTGGTGGTACATGCCTTTAATCCCAGCACTTGGGAGGCAGATGCAGGAGAATCTGAGTTTGAGACCAGCCTGGTTTACAGAGCGAGCTCCAGAATGGCCAGGGCTACACAGAGAAACTTTGTCTCAAAAAAATGATATATATAAGAATAAAATCTTTCTTTTAGAGAAGAAAATGCAAAGCCAGGTGTAGTGCTACAGTCCCAACACTCAGGAGGATGAATCAGGAGGATGAAGAGTTCAAGGCCAGCCTGGGCTTCATAATGAGTCTGTCTCAAAACAACAGAAGTAAATAGAAAACAACAAAAGCATGCCTTCTGTCTTAGTTACTGTTCTGTAAGTTGACCAAGGCAACTTACAGAAGAAAGCATTTAATTGGAAGCAGTTTCATAGGGGTAATTTATGATCATTATGGTAGAGGTGTGGCTGCTGGCCAGCTGGCATGATGTGAAAGCAGTAGTTGAGAGCTTACATCCTGATCATCAAGCAGGAGGCAGAAAGTGAGTGAGACTGGGCCTGGTTTGGGCTTTTGAAACTTCAAAGCCTATGCCCCCTCCCCCGCTCCACCACCCTGCAGTGACACATCTTCTTCAGCAAGGCCACACCTCCTGATCCTTCCTAAACAGTCCAGCACCTGGAAACAAAGCATTCAAATTTATGAGTTTATTCTCGCTCAAGCCACCATACCTTTGAAGTAGCAAGTAGGCTCATGTAGCTAGAACATGGAGTGTGAAATGATGGCAAGAAGGAGCTGCCTCTAAAGCATGATAAAACTTGGGTATTTGATAGTCATATAAAGTCATTAAAAGTCCTAAGAACAGATAGGTTTAAGAATGGTATATATGAGACATGTAACGTCTAAAAGGAATAACTAATGTTTGTGATCGGAGCGGGCAGCAGGGAGATGCTATGTGGGGAAGTTTCCTAAGCTGAGGGACCCTGCTGTGAGGCAGTGTTTTCTAGACATGACAGGGAAGCTGTATCCATGAAATCTCAACAATGTGGTTGCCCAAACAAGACCTGAGTAATGACAGCATCAGGCTGTCAAGGCCATACCCTAGATGGAGAGCTACAGGCAGTCAGTGGCTGCCGAGGGGAGAGAAACAACCTTCTCATTTGTAATGATAAAATGCACATAAAAAGAGGTGTGTAGTTATTAAAACAAAGCGGAGGGCGAGTTCTATTTGTGGTTGAGTATAAAACAGTGGTGACTTCTTACTCAAAATTAAGCAGACACTAAAATAGATGTGGGGGTTAATTAGAGCCCATAGAAATATCCCTTGAGGGGGCTGGAGAGATGGCTCAGCAGTTAAGAGCACTGTCTGCTCTTCCAGAGGTCCTGAGTTCAGTTCCCAGCAACCACATGGTAGCTCACAGCCATCCATAATTCGATATGGTGCCCTCTTCTGGCCTGTAAGCATACATTCAGACAGAATACTGTATACACAATAAATAAATAAATATTTTTTTAAAGATACTTGTTATTTAGAAAGAAAGAAAGAGAGA